GGTCACTATGGGTTGGAACTGACTCAATGGCACTTAATAACAAAAACAGCAATCATTCTAAACTACGTACAGAGCTACAAGATGGAGTGATCAAATAAGGATTAGTTTAGAGTCGGTCTCTATATATACACAGCTTGTGTGCGCTAGACCACCCTTTAGAGTGTCTCTCATATAGTCTTCTAAGTCTATACGAATGGCACATACTTGGGCGGCACCATGCATAACCATATGGTATAGCCCTGACTTCGCTTGATGCTTGCTTAACTGATAGACCACCTGAGTCATAGTGTTATTTTTGGTCCATGAAATGCTGATTGTTGTTAAGTGCTGTCGAGGAGGGTCCAACTTATAGCAACCCTGTATAGGGTTTCCAAGGAGCAGCTAGTGTGTTTGAACTGCTGGCTTTGTGGTTTGTAGTCCAGTGCTGATTCTAAAATGCCACACCAGGAGTCCTGATACATGTATTCTTATTATAGGACTTTACAATCAGGACATGCTAACTGTACAACATAAAAGTATAAAATATTCTCTTTCACATACATAGAATTATTATCTATTAAACTGAACTTTGACTATTTGTATTTTGCTATTAATATTTTTATTCATACATTTCTCATTTCTCATTGTATGATTTATTACCCAACAAGTAATAATAGACCACAATAGAATATTTTCTATAAATTAGACAAAAATACACCATGTATTTCATATTAACACTCACATGTACTTAATTTAGCTCATAATACATCTATACTCTGAGGGAATATATTTGATCTGCCTTTAAGGATCAGAAGTTCCTTTCTGTAGGTATTCTGGCCCCAATCTTTAACCAGAGTTCTGGTAGAGAACTGAACTGCAGAAAATTATTTGAATGACTGTTTTCTCTAAAGGGAGAGGCATAACCAGGACTTCTGTTTTTGTTTAGAATAAAAATTACCCATGGCAACGTTTTTTGTTGTTGTTTAGAATACAAATTACCATTTATTGGGTATCGACTCTGAAGTTCTGTGTCCTTATGCCAGTGATTGTACTTAGCTTTTCATTTTTTTAGCTTTTTATTGTCAATTGGGTGCTGGTCTGCAAGCACATTTTGTTTCATCTCATTGCTTGAGAACCCCTTAGTGTTACATCACTGATCCTGTTTCCTCCCTGCATTTCCTGTTTCTATACCTCCTTCTTTCCTAACCCTTCAGTACTTTGTCCTTGGGCAAGCACTGCCCTTTTAATCTCAATTGGTGAAATATTTTAAAGTATGCATACCTAACTAATGTTATTGCTCCATTTATAGGGTGCAATTACTTGGTTGAAAATTGAGCCACAGAGGGATAAATTCAGTTTTAAACCTGAAGGGTAACTAAGAGTGATAGATCCAGGGGTCCTGCCAGTCTACATTTGACCAGTAAACCTGGCCTTTTATATGATTTTGAGTTTTGTTCCATATTTTTCTCTTACTCTATCCAGGACCTTCTAATGTGATCCATTTGATAGTATTTTTTAGTGGTAATTGCACACCATCTAGTTGTGGTCTCCGAGTTGGTGAGACTGTTTAGGTGGTCCATTATTAGTCCATCGGGCTGTTTCCATGAATCTTTAAATTTCATCATTATTCTTTCTTCCAAACAAAAGAAAGACCTATAATTGCCTACTACTCATGAGCTTTTAAGACCCCATTAGCTACTCATCAAATCAGGATGCAGAGCATTGTCTTTGAGAACTGTGTTATTCCAGTTGACCATGGTTTCTAACAAGACAATAGTTCTGAGTTCACTGACCCAGCAACTGGTACTCCTGATGCAGAGGAGATGAATATCTTACTGGATGAGGATTGGATTTTTCACAGAACCCAAAGGAGATGTGCTTCTGCTGATATCCTTTTGAAATTCTGTCTAATGTAGTGTTGGGATTACTTGTCTGCATTGTTAATATGGTAATGTAAGTTATACAAATCTCCAGTATCTGTATTGTACTCGAACTTTGTCTTAAACAGTTCCATTCTGGATGGATCTCATTATCTAGCTCTGCAGAGATAAAGCTTCAGGACCATCATATCTCATTTCTAACTATTGTAATTAATAGACATGGAGTTCAACAGTTCAGAACATGATTTTTAAATGTTTAAAATTCTGTCCTCTTTCTAGTGTCAGTTTTTAATCATTTGTGATTATAAACAAGATCGGATGCCAAGGAACACTAATAATGACATAAATTTAAAACTGGTTATTTTGAATTATTAGAGTTCAGGTTGAGTGGTAACTATTTTATGTATACCTGTGTTTTGAGGGACAAAAATTTGCCATTGATACTTGGAGCTTTTGTCATATAGCCAATGAAGGAATATAACATAAGTAAGTACTGTATTAAAGGGTCAAGACAAGGAAAATATAATTGGATTTCATTTTACTGTGATGTAAGTCACCCATTCAGTCTGGTTCTGTGGGTTAACGTGCTGGACTGCAAAGTCAGTTTGGACCTTGCGCTAGGTCAGTGGTTTAAGCTCACCAGCTGCCCCTTGGAAGCCCTATAAAGGGTCGCTATGTGTCAGAACGGATTCAACAGCACTTAACAACAACATGTATGCATACCTACACACACACACACACACACATACATACACTATGTTATATAGTTGTTGTCGTGTTAGGTACCATCAAGTTGGTTACGACCCATAGTGATCCTGTGGTTTATGAGGATTGGCTGATGAGCTTGAACTGCTGACCTTGTGATTCAAGCCAACTTGGCATTTCAAACTAACCTTGCAATCCAGCGCATTAACCCATAGCACCACATAGGTATATGCTTATATATATATACACAAAATAGGAATAGTAACTATTTTTCAAGGACTAAATAATCTTAGAGAATTCAGCCATTTTTTATAATCAGCATTTGGGGCAATTACTTCATTTATTTCAGGATCTTAGAAATCTCCTGAACTTCTTAAAAATAGTCACTCCCCAGTAAAAACTTAGGAAGAAAGGAAAGTGCACAGATTAGTTTTTAAGTATTCTGGTTTCTGTACGTAAGGCAAAACAAATGTCATCACTGGAGATACTAGGTTTTAGTAATCAGAATAAAGAGGTATGAAATGCATATTTCAGAGGGTGGCAGTGGTCATTTGTGATTAGTTTAAAACGTAATCTATTAAAATAACATGAGGGTTTGAAAGTCCTATGAAATTGTGAAGTCAATAGTTCTTTCATGATTATTTTTACTTTCAAAGAAGAAATAGATAAATCAACTATTATTTATCCTAAGACTACTGAACCATTGGTAGTCTTACTTAGGGCATAAAGAAGCAGACTTGAATTAGGACTTCAATGACAAAATAACTAACAGAGCTGCCATAGCAGCAAGGAATGCTGGGAAGAGTTTATTTACCTAAAGAGGACACAGCATTGCTGCGAGGTCTCTCATTTCTTCAACAGAGCAGACTTTTACATGGAGACTTAACTTTTATAAAGATCTATTTCAACACATTTTAAGTTGGTGCATTTCAGTGTTATGTATACACAGAAAGTTTAAACTGAAGGTAATATTTTTTATTGGAAAGCCCATTTACTATACTATTCTAGTGCTTAACTGACACTCTAATGTCCCTTTTTCTCATTTTGCTTCCTTACTTTGACTTGATGTTATCAGCCAAAAGTTTAAATATAAGTAGGTCTTAATGGGCTGAGGGAATGTTTGAATGAATTGGAAAAACATTTAATCCTGTTATTCTTTTTTTAAATTTTATTCATTATGAATTGGGTTTCCTCTCCCCACCCTCCACCCTTTACCAGAAAAACCTTAATTGCACTCAGTCTGAGTGTTTATATAAATGAGGCTGGCGAGTTTGATAGAGTACAGTTTCTTTTCTAAGAACATCTGTGAAGGGAGTAATCTGTTTATTAAAATGGTAAATCTGTGAGTTGATTTTATTGTTGTAATCTCCAATTTAGTTGAAACCATATACGCTAATGGCTTCTACATGTATGAGGGGACTTGCAAACATTCATGGAAAAAAATGAATTAAAATATAATGGAAAAATATATATATATATATAATGGAGTTTTCCACTAACTTTTTGAAGCCCCCTCATAGATGTAATGGCAAATCAGTATTTCCTCACAGGCCATATTCAAATATATATATTAATTTGCCATCATTCAAAATAATATTTAGTGGGTATTACAGAGAGAAGATGAATTAAACTTCTAACACTGAATGGCACTTATGGGACTGAATTCATCCAAACTCTTCCATCTGTAAGACATACTTGGTTTTACAGACCTTGAATTCTGCAGTGCAGGTTAAATTGAATTGAGTTTTAAGGATCTGAATGAAAAAATGGGTGGCATTTAAGATGAGAACTAAAATCAAAGAATCCTCAAGAAACCTGAAGCTACTGAAAATATGGGGCTTTGTTTTCATTAATGTTCACATTCCACCTCACTCTATGTTTAATCTTGAAAATATTATACAAGCCCCCCAAAAAGTATACATATACTTGAGTTCACTAACACATACAAATAATAACCAAAAAATTCACAACCATTAGTCTTTTCCTTTAAGACTAATAGTGGTAACAGCATGCAATAAATATGCATCTTCAAAAACTTTTCGTTGTTCTCTGACACTGTCCTGCAACTTAGAAGGACTTTCAAATCTAGACTCCGTTAGAAATAAGGATGTCATCCTATGTATATGAAGAACTCTTAACTGACTCATTTCATAGCCCATGCTTTTAAGCATTGTTCAGTTTTTTAATAGAAAAATCATTATTTCTTGATTAAAGCAAATTCTTTTATAGTTCCATTAGGCAATAATTTTATAAGTCCCCAGACTAGCCTCCGTATGCATTTGAAGAAAGGAACTTTCGCTCATTTATAAATACTCCGATATTTAGACTGTTACCACCAACTGGCCGTCTCTCACATTTGGGAAGGCTAAATGTACTTTAAACAAACATCTCTACAAATGGAGTGAAGTCTGTAATGGTTTCTTTTGCTGCTCACAGATGTTGATGAATGCACGTCAAATCCCTGCACTAATGGAGATTGTGTTAACACACCTGGATCCTATTATTGCAAATGTCATGCTGGATTCCAGAGGACTCCTACCAAGCAAGCATGCATTGGTAAGGCATTGTTGCTTTCACATATGAAAATGTTCCATGAACTGTAGTGACCACGGCTGTTGAGGTTGAAAGTAAATTTATTAAAGTAAGACATGGAATGAAATAAATGCTGTTATATGACTGCAGATTTATTTTATGCTTCCCTTACAGAATAAAGCCCCTCAAAGGTGCTACCTTTAAACATAAACACTATTTGCATAGATAACCCATGCTTCCTGGTATCCAACTTTTCTAAAATTCGTTTCCCTTCTTTCCCTAGACTGCTGTTTCCTTTCTCCAAGTAACATCAATAGTATTATAGCATTCTATAATTACCCAGGCTTAAGATTTATAGTCATTTTCAACTACTGTTTTCTTTACACCCAACACATAGTCCAACACCAAATCATGACTGGTCTTTGGTCACAGCTTCATTGTTACACCCATCACTGTCGTCCAAGTGCTACTTCACTGCTGATTCATCTCAGAATCCTTTTAACAGATGACTCTGCTTGTCTTCTTTTTCATTTCCTATTCATTCTCAGGCAGCGGTTTCAATCAACAATCTCCAGCAGTTCTCATCATACGACTTTTAATCCAGAACCTCTGGAGTTACTTTATTCTTACCTGATTCCTTGCTCTGACTTTCAAGTCTTCCACTACCATGTCAAAAAACAGTTGTACCTGTAATTCCAATGGCATTGCCGCCTCCTCTCGTAAACTTGCTACGCACCAGTTTCATTTTTCTATTATTTTTTCTTCTTCTTCAGCTACTGTAAGTCAGAGCTGTACAATTGCTTACACCTACCTACCAAAGAAAAAAGCTAGTGAGAGAGAAAAATTTTTCTGAAGTAATTATATGTAAAAACAATCTTTACATTTAGAATTGCATTTGTTATTTTTACCATTCCTCTCTATAAATATTGTAACAATAATATGTTTGGCCGTGTTAATCTTTCAGATATTGATGAGTGCATCCAGAATGGAGTTCTTTGTAAAAATGGTCGATGTGTGAATACAGATGGAAGTTTCCAGTGCATTTGCAATGCTGGCTTTGAATTAACTACCGATGGAAAAAACTGTGTTGGTATGGAAACTGCCTGGTCCCTTGCAAAAGATTTTTAAAACACATATATGTTTTCACTTAGAATCATATCTACTGTTTCCATAAAAGTTCACACACCGCATATGTGAGAGTTCTTTAAATGGCTTGTTTTTGTTATGTGCCCTGTCGTTGGTTCTGACTCATAGAGACCCTGAATAGGATTTCTGAGAAGTGACTGGTGGATTTTGAACTGCTTACCTTGTGGTTAGCAGTCTAGTGCTTATCATACAGTGCCACACCAGGACTTATATAACTTAGATACAATATAATGTTTTTAACATGAGACTGTTTCAGTGATCAAAGAAACTATTGGAAGTGTTTTAACAAAAAAATTTACTACTTCTGGAAATGTTCTGTGTGGTATTTTTTTTTAAGCTCTTATTGTGAGTTGAGTGATATTTTATATGGGAGTACATCAGTTTTGCAAAGGAGCTCTGGTAGCGTAGTGGTTACGAATCGGACTGCGAACCTTAAGGTCAGCGGTTCGAAACTACCAGTCGCTCCACGGGAGAAAGATGAGGCTTTCTACTCCCGTAAAGATTTACACCCTCGGAAACCCTGTACAGGGTCGCTATGGGTCGGAACCGACTCGACGGCACTTAACAACAACAACAACATCAGTTTTGCACCCAACCTATTATATTTTGTTTCATTGCAATGATTACAATCCCCTCCATGCATCATTGGTTAACAGTATTTGCTTCTATTCCCACTGTTTTATTTTTATGTACACAAAAACAGGCAGAAAAATATAATTGCTTAAACCACCAAAGGGCACATGCTGCAAGCCAGCTTCCTGGCCACCAGCACACAGCCTTTCTCTTTGCATGAGTCTAGAGTCCTCAACTGCTGTATCTCTCCATGCCATCACCTCTGCCTCCATATCTGGTGTTGCTGCTTCTCTGGTTAGGATCCTGCATAACCCTTATGCTCTTCTCTCTTGATGGTCCTAGGGTCCTCTGTTCCTGCAATATAAGATTAAGTACTCCCCCCTTTTTGTTATACAACCTCTACCTTTATAGTTTGACAATTGCAATTAGTCATAATAACAATGATTCACTATAGAATCAAAAGAATCCTATCCCTATCTCCTCTCAGCAGATCCATCTAGGCAAGATGAAAACTATTCAGTGGGGATTCGACCTTCTCCTGCACACTTTGAAACTAAACTCCCTCTTGAAGACTTGTAAGCCAGTCACTTCATGCCTTTATAGTACCCCATCTTAGATAGCCAGTGTCTAAGTTGCCCGTCCTTATCAGCGCTGTGTACAGAGGAGATAGGCTTGATCCTTGATATGAAGACTCTTCCTCTCAGTTGGTATTTTGAGCTACTACAGAGAAAATGAGGAAGACCCCCCAATGAGATGGATTGGCCAAGTGGCAGCATCAGTGGACTCAAGTATGGCAACAGTAGTGAGGTTGGCCCAGGACCAGGCAGTGTTTCTTTCTGCTGTGCATAAGGTTGCTATGGGTCAGTACTAACTCGATGGCACCTAACAACAACAACAACAACAACAAACATCCATAAATAGAGTCCTGGTGTGGTGCTGTGGGTTAATGCACCAGACTGCAAAGCCATTTGAACTGCAAGGTCGGCAGTTCAAGCTCACCAGCTGCTCCTGGGAAACCCTATATAGGGTCGCTATGGGTTGGAACCAACTTGACAGCACTTAACAACAACATCCATAAATATAGGTCAAGTTCATCAAATTGTAGCAATTTACACTTGCTTGCTTTATCAAATTTCTTTAACTTCCTCTATTTGAATTCTGATCATTATACTATCGAAGCTAGGTCAAATGGGCCAAGTTTGAGCATTCATGTGCATATCCCTCCGCTTCATATCAGCTGGATGCTTCACGCTCAGCTCTATCCCTCTAAAGCTAGGTCAATGTCCGTGGACTCGGGAATTCCCAAGTCTCCCCAAATTTTGGACTAACCAGCACTTCCTTTTCTCTCTCTCAACTCGTGGTCAGTAGGAGTCTATGGAACATGATTGAACTCAGCCCACAGCTTCATTCCTGACTTTCCCTGACTTCACTTACATGTACACCATCACGGTCGCCAGTGAGCTTATATGCTTCCTCATGTGTTCCTTTGAGTTTCAGTCTTGGTGGGGTGTTTGTCCTGAAGGGACTTGATTTCTTGCCTTGATGGCTCCCCGATGAATAACTTGCTTGTTCTAGTTCTTGTTCTTGTAAAAGCCAAACAGACTACTGTTTTTGTTTTTTCTTGCTGGTCTTTCTTTTAAGAAGTATCTTCTGTTCCTCTAGCTGCTACAGGCTGGTCTGCTTGTCCTTTCAAGTGGAACTGTCCCACCTCAGAATGTTATGAATGGGTCTTAGGATACCACCTCAGGTCCTATACACTACAAAGAATCCACAAGAAGCTTATTCCACTGGGCAACTTCTAGAACCCCTTTTATTCCAATCAGTTGCAGGCTGAAGATGGGCTTATAAGCTTTCTGTAATCCTGTTTCCTAATACTCCTTTCTATACCACTCAAATGTCTATTTTAAAACAGTAGGCAAGGGAAACCAATATTCATAAGACAGTCAAGCATCCTAACATTATTACCCCTCTTTTACCCATTCAGACTATGCCTCAATACCTGTATCACAGAGCCCTGTTGTTCCAAGGTTGAGCATACATCTTTATTTATCTCTGTCCCATGGTATATGTTTAATAGATGATTTGTGTGCCATCAAGTAGATTCCAACTCATAACAACCCTATAGAACAAAGTAGAAATGTCCCCATCAGTTTACCTAGGCTGAAATCGTGATGAGAACACCAGATCTTTTCTCCTGTGAAATTGGTAGATTTGAACCACTAACCTTTTGGTTAGCAGCCAAGAATTTAATCACTGCATCACTAGGATGTCTTTGTTTTAACTGTAAATAGAAGTTATTCATCGTAAGTTCAAATTGCTCTTTAATGCACTGATATCTGGATGTGTTTTCTCAATAGGAGAAAATACAAAAACTTTGGCAGCACATTATATTTCATCCACTAATAAAATTCCAGGTCATTTCATTTTCAGTGAGGTTTATTCTTGATTTATCTTCTTTTACAAAAGAAACACTCACTGAAATCTTACTACTGAAATCCTCTTTTGGATTTCAAAATAAAACACTCCTGGGGTATGTGGTTTTATTCACAGCTAAAAGGAACCCCAGTGGAGTGTCACTCCACTGGAGGAATTCTGGGTACGTAGTGGATTACAAACTGAGCTGCTGACTGCAAGGTCAGTAGTTCAGATCTGTGGGAGAAAGATGAGGCTATCTGCTCCCATGAAGATTTACGGCCTCGGAAACCCTATTCAGTGTATCTATGAATTGGAACTGACTCCACAACACATAACTACCACCTAACCACCAGTGGAGCAGGAGTTAAGTGCTTGACCATCAAACACAAGGTTGATAGTTAAACCCACCATCTTCTCTGTAGAAAAAAAGATGTTGAGGTCTGCTTCTGTAAAGAGTGTAGCCTTGGAAACCTTATGGGGCAGTTATACTCTATTGTATAATGTTGCCGTGAGACAGATTCAACTGTGCAACACTGGATTTGTTTGTTGTTTCCTTTGTCATTTGCTTTTTTTTTTTGTTTTATTGTGCATTATGTGATAGTTTACATGGGAGAACATAACTTTACATTCATCCTATCATATATCGTTTCATTGCCATGGTTATAGTCCCCTTCTGCTCCCCCACCCTGGTCATCAGCACACAGCCCCTCTCCCTCTCTGTGTCTAAAGTCCCAGCTACTCCATCTCTCCACGTCATCAATTCTGCCTTCATCTCAGGCGTCACTACGTCTCTGGGTAAGGTCCCGCTCTCTGCTCCTCTCCTTTGATGGTTCCAGGGACCTCCACTCCTAAACTGCAAATTTAATCACTCTCCTCCTTGCTTTAAAACATCTACCTTTATATTTCCAACCCTTACAATCAGTCCTGATAACAATTATTTACTTGGATTTGGTTTTATGATGGCAAATTAATACAAAAGTTATTGAAATCTTTTATGTCCCTTATTTTCAAAGATCTTTCACAGTCTCTACAATATCTGCTCATACTCAGTGGACATTTATCTTTAAACACATACAAAAAAACGTGAGCACATGGCTCATTTATGTAGTGGAATTTGAGCAGGGTTTGTTGGTGGAAGGAGAGGGCTCCTCAAGGTCAGTTATTGAAATCACTCTCTCCCTTTCTTTCTGTAGATCATGATGAATGTACAACTACCAACATGTGTTTGAATGGGATGTGCATTAATGAAGATGGCAGCTTCAAGTGCATCTGCAAACCAGGATTTGTCTTGGCTCCAAATGGGCGTTACTGTACTGGTAGGTGTGGCTTTGAAATTGGAAAATAACTGTGATTAAAATCATCTTTTTTTAATTTGACTGAATCATGGAAGAGTTAACGTCAATTTTTTTCATGTGGATTTCATATTATTTGCATCTTTCACTCATTCAATAAGGCAGGTGTGTAGAGCTTCCTACAATAACACGGATTGTGATGTAGAGTGCTATAATGTGTGTACAAAAATAAAAATGGTAATAGAGAAAATTAAGGGAATGATAAATTGGTTTTAGCAAGTCTGGAGGAGATAATATAGAAATATTTTCTCTCTATTCATTTCCTAATGAAAAACAATGAAGGGAAGAAACCTAGAAAGATGTTCAATTTTATGTGGTGGTTTTCAGAACTAGATTTTTCACTATTGAATATTTTGTTGTTAAGTGCCATCAAATCAGTTCCGACTCACAGCGACCCTTTTTATAGTATTTCTGAGGAGCAGTTGGTGGGTTTTAACTGCCAGCTTTGTGGTTTGCAGTCCAGTGCTGATCCTACATTCCCACACGAGGAGTCCATTGTATGTTATTGGTCTATAATTACATTTTTTTCCATAAATCTAATCTACCAGTTGGAGATGGTATCATTACTGAAAAACGTCACATTGATTTTGTGAAAAAAAAATAATAATTGGAATATTCTTTTTATTATTTTCATATAAACCCATTTCAAAAAGTGAAGTTCTATGCTTTAGTAAGCAGATTTTCCTCTTAGAAATTAATGAGATGACTTATGTGAATTCTCACTATTGGAATTTAGTAAGGTGGAACATATTTGTACTTCCTACTTACAAATGAGTCTATTTTCTTTCTTTCTTCAAGTTTCCTCCTTTTAGAATAAAATAAGTTAATGACTTCTTTCTGCCTTCAGTTGTACAAATCTCATACCAAATAAGATTTATAACCAATCTTCATAATTTCCTTGAAATTTTTGGAATGGTAGAGAGAGAAATATGATTCTCATATTTCCTGATAACAAATGGTTTTTGACTCTCCAAGAAAGAAAATTACAGGATTAAATAGAAATAGTGTAGCTTTGTTGATTGAGCTAATGATTGGAATGTCATCTCAAGGTTAGCTGACTTGGATTTAACATGTTGTTGTTGTTGTTAAGTGCCGTCGGGTCGGTTCCGACCCATAGTGACCCTGTACAGGGTTTCCGAGGATGTTAATCCTTACGGGAGTAGAAAGCCTCATCTTTCTCCCGCGGAGCAGCTGGTAGTTTCGAACTGCTGACCTTAAGGTTCGCAGCCCAATTCGTAACCACTATGCTACCAGAGCTCCTTTACGTAGGATATGAGATTGGAAGGAACCTTGCTAGCACAGTAGTTTAAGCACTCTGCTGTGTGTGATGGCACTTGACAACAACAGCTCCAAATGTATGTTGTGTAACCAAAAGGGTGGAGGTTCGAACCCATGAGCTGCTCCTCGAAAGAAATGTGGCCGTTGGCTTCCATAAAGACTTACAGTCTTACAAACACTGGTGAAGTTCTACTCTACCCTTATAGGGTTCTGTAAGTCAAAATTTACTAGAGGGCAGTGAGTTTGCTTTTCGTATTTTTGTTTATTTTGTGAGATTAGAGTTTTGTTCCAGGGTGTAGCATTATATTATAGTACATACATTTGCTTTTTCATTTCTTTGGAAAATAAAATACATGTGTAAAGATTACCTAGATTTCACTAATTTCTGCTTTCTGAAAATTAATTTTTATTCATTTTCTTATATATGTAATAAAAAAAAGTCTTCACCTATTCATAATTTGGCAACTCTATGTTTTGAAAGCCTATTTCAACTTTTGGAGAAGTAATTTGATGTTTGGTTATATTTGATAAATTAAAGTCAATCTCACATTAGAAGCAGTACCCCAAATTATTTTATAATTATGAACTGATCAAATTAATATTTTTAAAATTGTATTTACCTTTAGTTAAATTTTTATTGAGTGTGACAATAATAAATATTTAAATTTAATGTTTTAAGAACTTATTTAAACTAATCTGAATGAAAATCATTTCATTTTAAACAGGATTAAAAAAAGTAATGAAAAGGGAGTCAGTGAATCACTTCTTTTCTTACGGTAAAGTGAGGCAAATTTCACTCAGTAAATATTTCTGAAATGTGTTTGAAATCATTGTATTTAAATATAAATATTTGTCACATCTATGTGTTCTTCCAAAAGTTATAAAGTAAAAAACAAAAAATTGACAATGTAGGATTATGATAGTATGTAAACTCTGTAATGAAGCTAAAGTCTAATTTACCAAGTAATGGGATATTTTGATCAAAGATTTTATAAATATTGTTGATCAAAATGGGCGGAACCAGAACAAAATTTTGGATTCTTACAAGATTGAGACTTTATGGAGTCGTGGAGGCTATATGAACTTCTGAAATTCTTGATCTGAGATCAAAATTATCCTCTAAAAAAGTATCCTCTAAAATCTTCTGAAAAACCGATAAATACTTAGCTTAACTAGAAAAGAATGTCTATTTTGAGCACTGTGCTGGAGTCCTGGTGTGGCACTGTGGGTTAATGCACCAGACTGCAAAGCCATTTGAACTGCAAGGTTGGTAGTGCAAGCTCACCAGCTGCTCCTTGGAGACCCATACAGGGTCGCTGTGAATCGTAACCGACTTGAAGGCACTTAATAACAAATATATCTATATCGAAATCAACAACAGCAACTTGAAAGATTAGATATGAAACTTAGGGGACAGTGACTTTATGTTAATAGGGGAGGAACAACTCAGAAAAGAAAGGTGAGGATGGTTACATAACCAGAAGAGTGGGATGAATTATAATGTGTGATGAATTGATGTATGCTCTACATGTACATTCTCAACCATATAACAGCAACAAAATTATGTTTTTAAATTGCAAAATTATGGTATTGGCTTCTCTTTACTCTGGGCAGATGTTGATGAATGCCAGACCCCAGGAATCTGCATGAATGGACACTGCATCAACAATGAGGGATCCTTCCGCTGTGACTGTCCCCCTGGCCTGGCTGTGGGTGTGGATGGCCGAGTTTGTGTTGGTAAGTTATCCAGTCTGTAATGACTCTAATACCCCAGTGTTCTTTGAACAGTGGACAGAGAGCCTAAACTGCTCATTCAGACTTACCTGATGAGATGAAATAAAAAATACTGATGAACAAAAATTTTGCCTTAAGCAAAGCATCCTTGAAAATAGCACCTAACTGTGTTCCTGAGCACAATGAATTTAAATTTGTGGCAGGATAGGATAAGCACTGGACTGCTGACCTCAAGGTGGGTGGTTTAAACCCACCAGTGACTCCTTGGAAACCCAATATAGATCACTATGGGGTGGAACCAACTCGATAGCACTTAACAACAATTGTTTAAAAATAAGGCATGAAAAGAAATTATAGTTACATTTAAGTAATCTCTTGTCTTTCTCCAAACAATATTTAGAATGTAAATGATTTGTGGATTAGAAATTGGATTGATATAAAAACTAGAAATTTTCGTAAGTAATTTATTCTTTATCACCATACAAATAACTATGGTGATGGTAGTTATCTGCTGTGGAGACAGTTCTGACTCCTAATGACCCTGTATAGAGTTTCTGAGGCGGTGAATCTTTACAGGAGCAGAAAACCTCATCTTTCTCCTGCAAAACCATTGGTAGTTTTGAACTGCAGACTTTAAGATTAGCAGCCTGATTTGTAACCACTATGCTATCAAAGTTCCTATGGAAGCAAATAAAGAGTATCAGAGAAAAGATACAGTTTATTCTATTAGAAAATCAGCCAGACATCAGCTTTAAAAAGTTAAGCAAAACAGAAACTTTACTGGCATGTCAAAACCCATCCAACATGTTCTAGCGATAACAAAAACAGAGTGAATTGTAAAAAGACATTCAATACCAGTTTTTTCTCTGAAGCATTTGAGTGAGACCCCTAGAGTGAATTAGCCATTGTGCAACCCCTGTTTTTCAGATTCATAGAGTAAAAACCAGACACAAGCATTGATTTGACAGTATGTATCAGAAAAATAAAATTCATTTTCAGTTATAATTTAGTTAATAATTCTTTAATCTTATGTGAATTCAAATATTTGAACTCCAAAGGGAGATTTAAAAAATGAAGAAGAAGCAGATGGAAATAATCTTTTCACTGACGTTTAACCACTCTCTCCAATCTAGGATTTATTACAGTCTACAAGGTTGTCAGTATTTTGTTCAGGGATATTTCAAATACAGCAACTAGAGGAATGTAGCTCCTTCCTGCTTGGAGAACTAAAATATTTTCAGTTGCTTTAAGACACTTTGTTGTTATTTCCTTTACTTAAATGATTTCACTGAAATCTACAATGAATACAAAGTCTTGTTTTGGAGGGAAATTTTCTTTTTTAAGGCCACCAACATATGAGTTGTTGCTGATGTTAATTACTATGGAGTGGATTCCAACTCTTAGTGACCATGTATAGGGTTTCCAGTGAATAGTTTTACATCCTCACGGGTGCAGAAAACCTCTTCTTTCTTCTGCAGAGCAACTGGCAAGCTCAAACCATGGACCTTGTGGTTTGCAGTCCAATGCTTGTCATATGTAGCCACTGAGCTCCCCAACAGATAACTGGTATGCTGTAAAGTCAGTTCCAACTTATACTGACCTTTTATAGGGTTTCCAAGGCTTTGAATCTTTACGGGAGCAGAAAGTCTCCTCTTTCTCCTCAAAGTGGCTGGTAGACTTGAGCTACTGGCCTTGAGGTTAGCAACCTAATGCATATCCCACTATAACTTCAGGACTTCCATAACATAAGAGTAGTTGATAAGCTGTTGTTCAGTGCTGTGGAGTCTGTTCTGACTCATAGTGACTCAGTGTAGGGTTTTCAAGGAGTGGCTCTTGGGTTTGAACCACCAATCTTGTGGTTCTCAGTCCAGTGCTTATCCTATAGTGCTACACACGGAGTCCAACACATGAGTTGCTGTTGTTGTTGTTAAGTGCCATTGAGTTGATTCTGACCCATAACAACCCTGTATAGGGTTTCCAGGGAGCAGCTGGTGAGCTTGAACTGGCAACCTTGTGGTTCAAACTGACTTTGCAGTCCAGCGCATTAGCTTACAGGAGGTTCTGACTCATAGGAACCCTGTATAGCATTTCTGAGATGTAGCTAGTAGGTTTGAACTACTGACTTTGCAGCTCGAACTGATCTTGCAGTCCATTGCTTATACTGCAGCACCATATGGGTAGTTAGAAATTCATTGTTCAACATAAAAATATATTGTCTTCTCTGGGTGTATATAGAAAAGTCATAAGAAATTGTTCGAAATTCCTTTCCCACTCTTTCATGATGTGCTTAATTGAACTTATTAAAAATTAAAACACCATTTGTTATATATAAAAATGCATTATTATTCCTATAATGTGCCTAGATGTGTTTCCTTCATGTCTTCTTCCTCTGGCAAATCTTTTGAAGTTGGGAAATATCACTATCCCAGATTATTAGGGTTAGCACTTTAATTTTAGATTTTTTCTTTTCTGTTATTTGGGTTTTTTGTTTCTCCAGATACTGAACTCTGAGTGTTCTTGTTTTTCATTAAATTAAACTGTTATTGTAACTGGTACATTAAAGAAGCATGATTCCTAAACTGGGTATAAACGAAAGACTTCATTTTTATTTGCCCTCTCTCTTTAAAATGTATTCAGTGAGGACAGTTTATCCAAGGAGTAGGAAGGAAATACCCAGGTCTCCTTATAACTTTATTGACTGTTTATAGGAAATAGAAAGTCTCCTATAGCAAAAGTCTTTTGTAGCAGAAATAATCACAAATAACAAATGATGTCCAATGCCACATAATTACTTCTATTTTTAACTTGTATTTTAGTTCAAATTTCTCTCTTCTTCATGCTTGGACCTTTTATTGTTGTTGTTTTGTTAAGTGCTATCGAGTCAATTCCAACTCATGGCAACCCTGTATAGGATTTACAAGGAGTGGAGGGTGAATTTGAACCACTGACCTTGCATTCCAACACATTATCCAACAGGGCCATAATAGGAATCAATTAGTGAGAAGGTTTTTGACTCCACCAGTGTCACATGGAGGGCAGAGAGGAAAGAAAGGAAGAGCAGAAAAGTTCTTATATTGGTACTCCCCTAATATAGCTTCAAGATTTGGAGGCTCCACAGATGTTTGTAGCCATCTTCTTTCCTTTTGGATGTTTGTCTTAGGCTGGATTTTCTAGAAAAGAAAAACCAGTGAAACATTTGTTGTTGTTGTTTGTTGTTAGGTGCCATTGAGTCAGCACCGACTCACAGCAACCCTATATATACAGCAGAATGAAATGCTGCCAGGTCCTGAGACAACCTCACAATCATTGCTGCGTTAGAGCCCATTTCTGCTACCACTTTCCATTCCGTCTTGTTGGGAGTCTTCCTCCTTTTCTCTGATCCTCCACTTTACCAACCATGATATTCTTCTCCAGGTACTGGTCCCTTCTGAAAAATATGTCCAACGTATGAGAGACGAAGCTTGGCAATCCTGGCTTCCAAGGAGCATTCTGGCTATACTTCTTCCAACACAGATTGGTTTCTTCTTTTGGCGGGCCTGGTGTTTTCAGTATTCTTATCTAACACCATATCTCAAAAGCATCAATTCTTCTATGGTCTTCCTGATTCACTGATCGTCTTTTGCATGCATGAGATTATGGAAAATACCATGACTTGGGTCAGGCATACCTTAGTCCTCAAACTGACATCTTTTCTCTTCAACACTTTAAAGAGGCCTTATGTAGCAGACTTGTCCAATGCAGCGTACCATTTGATATCTTGACTGCTACTTCCATGATTGTTGTTTGTTGATCTGAGCAAAATGAAGTCTTTGACAACTTCAGTCTTGAGGAATTTTTGTTTTTTGTTTTCTTTACATTGAGGTGCAACCCACAATGATGGTTGTGGTCTTTGATATTCATAAGTATTTTAAGTCCTTTTAACTATCAGCAATCAAGATTGTATCATTTGTATATCTCAGGTTGTTAATTAGTCTTTCTTCAGTCCTGATGCCATGTTTTACTTTATACAATCCTGCTTCTCAAATTATTTGCTCAGCATACAGATTGAGTAAGTATGGTGAAAGAATAAAACCCTATCGCACACCTTTCTTAATTTTTAACCATTCGATGTTCCCTAGTTCTGTTCGAACAACTGCCTCAAGAGCACAATTTAGTGTTCTGGAACACTCATTCTCCACAATGTCCATAGCTTGCCGTAACCCACACAATCGAAAGCCTTTGTATAGTCAATAAAGCACAGGTAAACATCTTTCTGGTATTCTCTGCTTTCAACCAAGATCCATCTGATATCAGCAATGGTATCCCTTGTTCCATGTCCTTGTCTGAATCTGGTTTGAACCTCTGGAAGTTCTCTGTAAAAATGTATGGTTGCAGCTGTTTTGAATTATCTTTAGCAAAATTTTCATGCATATGATATTAATGATATTGTCCAGTGATGTCCACGTTCCGTTGGGTCACCTTTCTTTGGAATGGGCACACTACAGATCTCTTCTAGTTAGTTGGCCAGATAGTTGTCTTCCAAATTTCTTGACATAGATGAGTGAGTGCCTCCAGTGCTGCATCAGTTTGTTGGAAGATTTTAATTTGCATTCTGTCAATTCCAGGTGGCTTGGTCTTTGCCAGTGCACCTTGGACTTCTTCCTTTTTTATCATTGACTCTTGAAATAGTTGAACATTGACCATTTCTTTTTAGTACAGGGACTCTGTATATTCCTTCCACCTCCCTTTGATGCTTTCTACATCAATCGATATCTTGGCCATATAATCCTTCAATATTTCAAGTTGAGGCTTGACATTTTTCTTTAGTTTCCTCAGCTTGAGAAATGCTGACTGTGATCTTCTCTTTTTATTTTCTAACTCCAGGTCTTTGCATATTCTTAAACTTTGTATTCTTGAACTGACCTTTGAAATTTTATGTTCAGCTCTTTACCTCCTCATTTCTTCCAAGATGGTCGACCCACATCTGCCTAGCCATTCATTAGTCAGTCTTCCACTCTCACCAT